AGTCCAAACAGTTAGGGAATGGTCCCTTTGGGTAGTGCATTAATTTTACGAGGTCGTGGGAAACCAAGGTAAGGCTAGCAAGCCAGCAGTGTGCAGTGATGTGAGGAGGACTCGGACAGTCAGGGAGGGCTTCTCCTCACCAGCTTTCAAGCTGTGGTCCCTCCTCACTCATCAGCTTGAGTCACTGTCCCTTTCCTCATCAACACAAAAGGAGGGAACAAATGGGGGAGGCCATGAAAATGAAACCAGGCCCCTCTCAGAGGCTGTGCAACGTCAATAAAATTCTGAGCTCCCCAAGTGGACAGGGCACGTAGCCGTTTGGTTACCGAGGTTGGCCAGCTGGGAAACAGTAGGGGATTGGTAAGGAAACCGCATTAATTAGAAAGAAAGCAAACATCAGTATCACCCCAGCCTGCCAATACTTTCCCCCTGGTTTCTCTCATAGCTCCCCCTCCACTCCCCCCACCCCAACCTTAGCTTCTCCCTCTGCTGCTCCTCCCTCTCCAGGCTGCTTCCCTCACCCTCTACTTTTTCAGTGCCTCTGCTACCTCCCCCCTGACATCTGTGCAGGCTCTTGGCTCTGACCCACTGCTTCCTGAGGGAGAAGGGAGGAAGGTTGGAAGAGCATGTCTCCCCACAGCCAACCCTCTCCCCTTGACCCTCAACTCCAGGCCATAGGCCTGCTCAGTCTCCTGATCTTGTTAGCTGCTGCCTCTGTTCTTGGCTGTTCCTTCTGTCTCATTTGTGGAAACAGCCTGAACAGACAACTTCTGTGCTAAGTTTTAAAACTTTCTGAGCAAAGAACATCATCTCTGAGCCCATCCCTATCAGGTTCTTCCCTTATATTCGTGGAAAGGTTTGATTCATAATTGCTATCTCCAGAGATTTAGGAGATAGAGAAATTTCTGAACAAGGGGTGGATAAAAGGATGGTCTCCTTGGGAAAAGGGGTGGAGGATAAGGGAGTTGGGCTGCTCATAAGAAGGGGTGGATGAAAGATTTTCTCAGGGAGTGGACCATCATCATCATCATCATCATCATTATCATCATCACTTGGATTTATACATATGTGGCCATAAGGAAGGATAAATATGAAAAATTCAAGAAAATAAGGGGAAACTTATGTGAAGGGATATCAAGCAATGAAAGCAGAAACATAGTAGACATACTATGACTATGCCAAATAAGACAAAACTCTGGTCAACTGCAATGGACAAGGTTGCTATTCACTTGTTAAAGCACACAGTCTTCCTTTATTTTTTCAGTTTTATTGAGGACTTTTTGTTTTTCCCAATATATTTCCACCACCCCCTACACTGAACCTACTCTCTTGTAACAAAGAAACACAGTTAAGCAAAACCACATCTGGCACTGTATGCAACAGTCTGTACCCATAGCTGTCCCCTCCCCCCCCAAGAGATGGGAAGTATGTTTCATCATTTGTTCATGGGGACCATTATTGATTATTGTAATTAAGCTGAGTTTGGCTGCCTTTTAGTGTTATTTCCATATCTGATTTAGTAGCATTATATGTATGTGTGTATATATACATATACATATATATATATATATATATATATATATATATATAAAATTCTCTGAATTTCTCATATTCATTGTTTCTCATGGTGCAACAATATTCCATTACATTTATGCATCATAATTTGTTCAGCCAGTTACCCATCAATAAACACCAACTTCATTTCCAGTTTTTACTACCACAAAAAGTGCTATAAATATTGGGTACATGAGACTTTTTTCTTCTATCTTTGACCTCATATCAGTACACACCACAGTGGGATCACCAGATCAAAGAATATGAAGAGTTTAGCAACCTTTGAGGGTAATGGCTAGAGTGCTGGAGTTGGAGTCACAAAAACCTCAATCTGATTCCCACTTCAAATAGTTACTACCTGTACAACTCTGACCAAGTCCCTTAACCTCTGTGTGCTTTAATTTCTTCATCTATAAAATGGAGATAATAGCAGCCACCTTATGGGACTGTTGTGAGGATCAAATTAGATAATGTATTTAAAGCACTTTGTAAACTTTAAAAGCACTAAATAAATGTGAGCTATTTATTTATCTATAAGCCCTTCCTTTCTTTTAACAAACAGGAAATCACAAAAGTGTAAGGTTGCATATATTAGCTATGTGATCCCGGGCAAGTCACTTCTCTCTGCCTTAGTTACCTCATCTGTAAAATGGCGATAATAATACCATCTACCTTACAAGGTTGTAGGGAGATTAATAATAATAACAATAATAATAACTAACATTTATATAACACTTTAAGATTTATCTTACAAGTATCATCTCATTTGGGATTCACAACAAACCTGAGAGCTATTATCTCCATTTTACAGATGAAGAAACTGAAGTAGACAGAGGTGAAATGACTTCCCCCTGGGTAACACAATTAGAACGTGCATAAGGCTCTTTTTCTGACTTCAGGTCTTCATGATTCTATGTCCAGCACTGTGAGACAATATACAAAGCTTTTTATAAACCTTAAAGCACCATATAAATGCTAGCTTTAAAATGTACCACAATTGCAATTACTCTTCTAGGCGATTTTTGTTTAACTGTTTGTATAGTTTGTTGGTGGTTGGTTTTGGGTATATGTATTCAATGTTGTACATAGCTGTCCTGGATTTAAACTGATGCTACTGCTCAAGCTAGAAGCCCATCCACCTCAACAGTTATTTTCTAGAACCTATACAACTTTATAACTTGGATTCTTAGACAAGAACTATCCAGACTTCAATATTCTTCTATCTGCTGACACATTTTACAGTCACAAAATCTCTGAATAGGAAGAGACTTTGTTAGCCATCTAGCCCAACTTGTACTTTGTACTTAACTAAGAATTTCTATCACATCCCCAACAAGGAGTCATCTAGACTTCAAGTAGGGGAATCCCACTGCCTCTTCAGGAAGCCCAGTTCACTTTTGGACAACTTTGTTAGAAAACATTTCCTTACATCAATCTGTTCTTCAGAGTGCTCAGATAACAAACAGAATTCTTCTTCTATATGACAGTTCTTCAAATACTTAAAGATGGCTATTATACCCAAAGTCTTCTCTGCTCCACACTTAACTGCTCCAGCTCCTTCAATTATTCCTTCACCATCTTGATAGCCCTCCTCTGGATGCTCTATAGATTAATAATTCTTCCTAAAATGTGGCATCCAGAATTGAACACAATATTCCAGATGTGATCTGGCCAGGACAGAGTACAGTAAAACTATCACTTTCTTTATTCTGGCCACTCTGGCTCATTTAATGGTCACATTTAAAGGTCACATTAGCCTTTTCTCACATTGCTAGCACACCAGTCATATCTAGTTCTGAATTTGTTGACCTATATTATCATCTATGCATCTACATGTGCACTTTGATAGGTGCTGTTGAGACACAAGTTCACAAATAAAGCAGAAGAGATCTGGAGAGATCTGGCAGCATCTGAGAAACTAAGGCCCAGAGAGAGGGAGTGACTTGACACAGAACTAAAAAGTAATAGAATTGATTCTCAAACACTGGTTCCCAGACTTCAAGTTCCTTGCTCTTTCTACCATACTGCATTGCTTTAGACTGCAAACCATCACCCATATTCATACAACCCTGATGGTTCATAAAGATTGCACTCTCACCTAATTCATTATAGTGAAGTCCCTGGCAAAAGTAAGAGGCAGTATGGAGCAGTGGGAAGGGAATAAGCATTTATATAGCTCCTACTACATTCCTGGCACTTTGCAAATTTGATTCTCACAACAACCCTGAGAGGTAAGTGCTATTATTATCCCCATTTTACAGCTGAGGTAGGGGCAGCTGTGTCAGTGGATAGAGTGCCAGGCCTAGAGTTGGAAAGACTTATCTTCCTGAGTTCAAATCAGATACTTACTGAGCCTGGGCAAGTCACTTCACCCTGTTTGCCTCAGTTTCCTCATCTGTAAAATGAGCTGGAGGAAATGGCAAATCACTCCAGTATCTTTACCAAGAAAACCCCAAATGGGATCACACAGAACTGAACACAGCTGAAAATGAGGGGCTAAGGGCCCTGGAAACACCCCATTGAATTTTCCCACATGGTCAAATCTCTGGTATTGGCCTGAATCATCTGACCCATCCCAGTAATCCTCTCAACTGGCCTTTCATTGTGGCCTACACCCAATCTCCCAATTCTCAATTACCTCTAACCTAGCCCAGCCCCACCCTTGATTCCATCTAGACTCCATTGTCCCATGGCCACGTAGTCCAGGTCCCTGGCATTTCCTGGTATATGGGCCCTTTTCTGTTACTTCTCAGTTACCCAGCCTACTGGCCACTCCTGTAAAAGGAGTCTCCTCTACCAAAGAGCAGATTTTTAGAATCACCCCAACCTTGACTGGGGTTTTAATAAATCTTGTCTCTGGCTGAAAGAAGGCTTCGGTGGAATTAATTAGAGGCAGGACCAGCCTTGCTATTTTGAGGTCCCAGCCCCCCTAAACCTAAACAAGAAGACTGAACAACAAAACCAGGGGCACACAGCTAGTAAACGTCTGAGATTGGATTTGAACTCAAATCTTCCAGCCTCCAGGGCCAGCACAGTGCCACCTTAATGCCAGTGGAAGAAGCACCCTACACAGAATAAGGAAGCCCAGATTTTGCCACCTTGTGCTGGTCATGTCCTCTCTTTGAGTCTGTTTCCTCTTCTGTTAAACGGGGAAAGGGTTCTGGACTAGATGGTATCGAAGGTCCTTTCCAGATACTACGTTCCCGGATAATCTAACAGTGGCTGCGGACTAACTGAGGAGAGGTGGGCGATGCTTGGTACACTTCAGGAGGAAGGCTGGCCCTGGGACAGGGGAATGGAACAAAGGCAGAAGCCCTCACCTTCCAGCTCTTGTCTCCCCACCCCCACCCCAAGTGGGAACGGGAGGAAGAGAAACCAAGATGGCGGCCCCCATGCTGAGGGACACTCTCCTCGCCAGTGCTATTGCTTGCCGGCTGCCCCGGAAGCGGAAGAAGCGCAAGAGCACGGCGGTCACAGGTGATCTTCACGATGGCGGCCTTCAGGGCACTGTTGTCAGGTTGTGGGCGGCTGCTCCGAGGTTTCCTAGAGGGGCGGGCTCAAGTCAGCTGGGCTCGGCCTCCGGCCCGGGGCCTCCGAGAAGGTGAGTACGGGGCTCCATTGGCAGCCTCGGTGGCCGCCATCCAACGCCACCCTTCTCTTACCTCTTCGCGCGCTTTTCCTGCAGGTGTTGCTGAGCTGAGCCGGGGGCCGCGCACTTCTCTCCAAGGCTTCGGTCCAAGGCCTCTTATTCCTGCGCTCCTGCCCGCCCCCACCTCCTTCAGTCCGAGGTCGCGCGCTCCCCTTTCCTCTGGTGGTGCCTCCCCGCCGCCCCACTCCCACCCCCCGGGGTCGCGCGCTCTCCACTTTCTCTCGCGCCCCGCCCCCTTCCCCTAGTGTGGGGTCTCGCGTTCTACCCACTCGCATCCTGACCCCTTCCCCGAGGCTGGAGTCTCGCGCCCCCTCCCTCCCCTGGGGTCACGCGCTCCCCTTTCCTCTCGCGCTGCTCCCCACCCTCACCCTCACACCCCTGGGGTCACGCGCTCTCTATTTTCTCCTTCGTCTGGCTTAGGGGTCTCGAGATCACACCCCCGCCATCCTCCCGCGCCTCCCTTTCCTCGTGGTGGCCCTGAGGCCGGTGACCCACGATTCCTTTCTCCTTTCTCTAGAGCCACCCCTAAGCCCAGAATACCCTGTGGGACCCCGAGGCTGCTCAGTTTGTAAAGGGGAGGGGCAAGACATGGCCCTTTGGTTAGTGATTGCTATTGGATCTCCAGGATTGCCCCGGCAGCTGTGTGAACCAGAAATACGGCCGACCTTTCCATCTCTGTGTTCTGTGAATACCCTCTGGTTTTATTTACTCTCTAGGGAGACCTCATCAGGGTGTCCAGCCTCTAGCCTCTTCCAAGTAATCAGTACGGAAAGGAAGATTCTGTGACAGGGCTTTTCTCTGTTTCCTTTGGTAAAATGGTGAGAAGGTCTTTTGCATTGTTTCTGAATGGTTTTCCCTCTCATTTTGCTGCTTCCTCCAGCAGAGATTCCTTAAGGCTGGAAGGCAAGGACTCGTGAGTCCCTTCTCAAGGGACCACAACTCACAACGTGCCAAGCATATTACCTCTTCCTTTCCCAGAGGGGAAAGGGCCTGGTTGAAAGAGCTTTGAGGGCTCCTTAGAATAGAAAATCAATGACTGGACTGACTGCCCACTCCAGGAGCTGTTGGAAAGATGCCTTTGAAAAGAGACACAGAGAGAACACAGCTACTGTCCTGGAGTACCTTAAAGTCTGATGCCAGACACTGAAATAGTTACAGAGAAATAAACATTACTAATCTCTGGGAAGAAGGATAGTGGAGCCAGGATGATCTGGTCTCTTGAAAGACACCTTGGAGGGGTACTTTGAAGAAGTGCTTCTCTACATGTTATTTCCCCTTCCCCCTCATGTAAGCTCTTTGAGGGCCACGTCTGTTTTCAGTTCAGTACAGTACCTGGCACATAGTAGGTGTACAATAAATGCTCATTGATCGAATGATTGATTTAAACTTGGAAGGGACACTATACATTATATAGGCCAATGCCCTCATTTTACAGATGAACAAACTGAAGTGGCTGAATAACTTGCCGAAGGTCACAATATTAATGAGTAGTAGCAAAGGCAAGGTTTGAACTCAAGTTCTCTGACTCTAGAATCAGTGGTTTGTTTTTTTTCACTACCTCATGTTGCTAAGGAAAAAAAACCTCGAAAATGAAGCTAAACTACCTTCATAGCTTACACAATGAACTTGACCAGTCCAGCTAATGTATGAGCATATTGTTGCACGTAGATTATAAAATTCTAAGGCCTTCCGTTGCTGAAAAAGATGAAGTGTGTTCTTTTTTTCTTTTCCAAAGAATAAAAAAAAAGGATAATTAACATTAGTGACTGTATGTGAATACTGGACTCATCTAATATATTTGAAAATATCCCTTCTCTTAAGGACACAGTAAGATTAAAAAAGAATTATGTGGAAGAGGGGATGATTATTCGATTTTTGTTACCCCTTCCCCCCTTCATGATATTTTTGGTTCACTCATCAATTGCCTTCTCTCTTATCTACCTGCTGTCACCATTTTTCAAAAAACATTTACCGTGGCCAAATTGGTAAATAAAGGATTTTTAAATAACAGAATATAATCATGAAACCTTAAAAAAAATCATAGGGTGTCATGTTTCCAGCCTAGGTTGAAGAAGGGAGACAGATCCAAACCGTATCTGGGAATAGAGTCTAGCCAGAAACAGTATTCTAGTGCAGGGAAAGGCTGTGTACTAGGACAAGAAGAGGTCCTAGATCCAGCACAGAGGAGCCCAGCATGCATGGTATAGGAGCAAGTGCCACTTATATTCATTACTGAATATAGAGTCACAGATTCGGGGCAGGTGGAGGAGACGTTGGTCCAAGAATGTTATTCCAGAGTGAGTGTTGGACCATTAGTCTGTTAACTGAACAAGGAGCAGCTTTGCAGCCCTTGACCTCAGGAACAGAGTGGAATCTTAGATCCAGATCCTCCCACCCCTAACTGAAGCATACAAGGGAATAACCAAGGCAGGAATCCAAGACCAAAGGGAAGCCTTCAGTTCTGTCCCTCTGAACCAGCAGAGCTTTCTAGCTAGCTTGGTGTGGTTGAGTCCAGTACCCTGCTACTGGGATATCCACAGGCACGTTGCTCAGTCCTAAAATGAACTGAGGAACAAGAAAAGCTTGGATTGGGAGGGAGCAGTCAGACTTTGCCGAGGATCAGTCATGTTGGGAGCACTGAAAGCTTGCAGGCTCTCAGCTTGGGCTATCCTTGTGTTATACTGGAACACCACCACACTCAGTACCTCCAAGAAAGCAGCACAAGGCCCTACATTCGCTTCAGAAATGCACAAAGCCTGGCCCTTACATAAAGTCCAAAGTCAGGAAGTAGGTTGGAAGAATGACCAGACAGAAAAGGAATTCTACCATAAAAACTGATGGTGACAGGGAGAGTCAAGATCCAAACCCAAAAGACAAGATTGACTCAAGTACTACAAACAAAGCTTCAGCAGAAACCACAGCTTGGGCACGAGTTCAACTAGAATTACTGGAAGAGATAAAATAGGAGGTTTTAAGTGTTTTTTTTATAGATGAGATGAAATGAAAGCATAGCAGGTAAAAATGGAAAAGAAATGAGAACTGTGGAAGAATTTGAAAGGTTGGGGCAGCTAGGTGGCGAAGTGGCTCTGGCCTTGGAGTCAGGAGGACCTGAGTTCAAATCCAGCCTCAGACACATATCACTTGCTAGCTGTGTGACCCTGGGCAAGTCACTTAACCCCATTGCCTAGCCAAAACAAAAAAGAAAAGAAAAGATTTCATAGCAAAAACAACTGATCTGAAAATTAAAGAGCCGCTGGATCTCCTGAAAGCCATGACCAGATTAGAGCCTACCCATCATATTTCAAGAAATCATTAAAAAAAAACAAACCTGCCCAGATATATTACAGGAGTGGGAAACCTGCAGCTTCAAAGCCACATGTAACCTTCTAGGTCCTTGGGTGCAGCCTTTTGACTGAGTCCAAGTTTTACAGAACAAATCTTTTTATTGAGGGAATTTGTTCTGTGAAGTTTTGGATTCAGTCAAAAGGCCATATGTGGCCCCAAGGCTGCAGGTTCCCCACCCCTGTCTAAGAACCAGAGGGCAAAGTAGGAATAGAAAGAAAACACTGGTCACCTTCTTTAAAAACAAAACAAACCAAAAAAAACCCCCTAAAATAAAAACTTCCAGGACCATCATAGCCCAAGTCCAAAGCCTTCCACATCAAAGAAAAAAATATGCTTCAAGCACCCAGAAAGAAAGAATACCTAGAAGCCACAGTCAGGATCACACATGATAGAACAGTCACCACAATGAAGTAGCAGAGTTTGAAATACAGTATTCCAAAAGGCAAAGGATATAGGCTTATAGCCAAGAATAACTTAACCAGCAAAAGTGAGTATACTTCTACAGGAAGGGAAATCAACAGTTAATGAAATAGAGGACTTCCAAATTTTGAAGTGCAAAAACAGGAATCAAGAGAAACATTAAAAAGGTAAACATGAGCAAATAATCATAAGACTCTAAACAAGGATAAACTTTTTACACTCTCATTCCAGTGTCTTCTCTCTGTTGATTATTTACTATTTATCCTCTTTAGCTTGCTTTTTATATATTTGTTTCATGCTGTCTCCCTCAATAGATTGAGGGTAGGGATTTATCTTGTATCTCTAGCACTTAGTACAATGTCTGGCACATAGAGGGTACTTGATAAATATTTATTGGTTGGTTGAATATCAAGGGTCATAAAAAGTATAAAGAGACAAAGGGCCTGGAAATAATCATGTTATGTTTTGATAATTTTAAAAGAAGAATGGAAAGGGAAAAGAGAATATACTAGGGAGGAAAGGAGAGAAAGAGTGGGGAAAATAAGAAGTCCATATAAGCAGGGAGGGGGAGGGGGAAGGAGGGCAGTTGATACTTGAACCTCACTCATAAACTGGTCAAAGGAGGAGAAAATACACATGTAGTTGGATATAGAAATACATTTTACTTAACAGAGAGACAGAAAGGAAAGGGAAGAGAAAGAGTGGATTAAGGGAGGGACTAGTTCTAAGCAAAACAAACTCTTAGAAGGTGCAAAAATATTTATAGTAGTTATTTTTGAGTGGCAAAGATTTGGAAACTGAGAGGATACCCACCAATTGGAGAATGGTTGAATGAGTTATGGTGTATAAATGTGATGGAATACTATTCTGTTGTAAGAAATGATGGTGACTGTACATGTCAAGGGGGTTTATTTATCATGAGGGTTTGGGGTTTTTTTTAGTTTTTTGGAGGAGGGAATGGGAGAGAGAGAGAAGGGGTTTTTGTTAATTGAAAAAACATTTTTGACCTTTTAAAAACTATTTCATATTTTATTCTTCCCCCCCCCAATTACACATTAAAACCGTTTTTAACACAGTTTGGCTTTGGGATCGAAGCAGTTGGGGTTAAGTGACTTGCCCAGGGTCACATAGCTAGTAAGTGTCAAGTGTCTAGGGCCAAATTTGAACTCAGGCTCTCCTCACTCCAA